TGAGTGATGTTTCATTTGTCTTTGTTTGTTTTCAGTTCTGCAGAGCCACTTGTGTGAGTGACTTGACCACTCGTGCAAGTGAGTGATACTCTGCAACTATTGTGTTCTTGGTTGTTTTCCGGTTATTTGAAGTTTAATCTGTCCCTGTGGGATCGACCCGACTTATCCTATCTATAGTTTAAGTTGGTAATTTATTTTGGGGGCTTTGACAACCCACCAACTTTCTCATGAATTCTCTTGATTGTCTTAGCTTTCTTAAATCCATCCAAACTAACTTGATCCTTCAAAGGTAAAGGTGATAAATCTAAAGGAGTTAATGGATAAAAATCATAGACAATCTCTAAAGGTGAAAATTGAGTAGAAGAGTGAACAGTTCTATTATAAGCAAATTCAGCAATATTTCTTCCCATTTCTTCAAACTACTCTTGATGATCTCTCTTAGGACAGCTCCTAAAGTACGATTCGTCACTTCAGTTTGACCATCAGTTTGTGGATGACTAGTTGTGCTAAATAACAACTTAGTTCCCAACTTTTCCCGCAACGATTTCCAAAAGTAGCTAAGGAACTTAACGTCCCTATCACTAACAATTGTTCTTGGAACACCATGAAGTCTTACTATTTCTTTCAGAAACAAATCTGCAACGTGACGTGCATCATCTATTTTTCTGCAAGCAATGAAATGCGACATTTTAGAAAATCTATCCACAACTACAAAGATAGAATCCATACCTCTTTGAGTTCTAGGTAAACCCAATATAAAGTCCATAGATATGACCATCCAAGGTTGTGTAGGGATAGGCAATGGCGTGTAAAGTCCATGAGGAAGCGATTTAGACTTCGCTTGTTTACACTCCACACATTGATTAATGATAGTCTAAACGTCAGACTTCATTTTGGGCCAACAGAAATGCTCTTGGAGCACATCCAAAGTCTTAGGCACACCAAAATGTCCCATTAAACCTCCACTATGTGCCTCGCATATCAGAAGTTCTCGAAGTGAACACTTAGGCACACAAAGTCGATTTTCTCGAAATAGATAACCTTCATGTCTATAAAACTTTTCAAAAGAACTTTGCTCACAAGCAGTAAAAATATTAGCAAAATCAATATCTTCACAATATAGATCTTTAATAAACTCAAATCCCATCAATTTTGCATCTAAAGAAGTCAACAAAGTGTAACGTCTAGATAAAACATCGGCAACAACATTGCCTTTTCCCTTTTTATACTTGATAATATAAGGAAATGTTTCAATGAATGTAACCCACTTAGCATGTCTTTCACTTAGACGGTTTTGTGATTTAAGATACTTTAGAGATTCATGATCAGTATGAATTATAAGCTCTTTAGCCAACAAATAATGTTGCCAAGTCTCTAATGCACGAACCATAGCATAGAGTTCCTTGTCATAAGTAGGATAATTAAGACAAGCTCCATTTAACTTCTCACTAAAGAAAGCTATAGCACGTTTATCTTGCATTAAAACAGCACCAATACCAATACCAGAAGCATCACATTCTCAATCAAATTTTTGTTAAAATCAGGCAATACTAAAACAGGGGCACTAGAAAGGTCTCGTTTTAAGTCAATAAAAGCTTTCTCTCAGGCTGGTCCCCAAAAAAATTTAACTTCCTTTTTAACCAACTCATTTAAAGGGGCAGCTTTAGTCGAAAAATCTTTAACAAACCTTCTATAAAAACTAGCCAAACCATGAAAAGATCTCACTTGTGTCACATTGGTTGGTGTAGGCCAATCCTTAATAGCTTGTATTTTAGAACTAACAATGTAACCAAGAAACACAACTTCATTTGCACAACATGAACATTTAGGCTTGTTAACATAAAGTTTCTCTTCCCTCAATGTTTGCAAAACAATTCTCACATGTTCAACATGGTCTTGTAAGTTTTTAGAATACACTAAGATATCATCAAAGTACACAACAACAAACTTACCAATATAATGCCTCAAAACATGATTCGTTAATCTCATGAAAGTACTAAGAGCATTAGTTAACCCAAAAGGCATCACTAACCACTCATACAAACCAAATTTTGTTTTGAAAGCAGTTTTCCATCATCTCCTTGTCTAACTCTTATTTGATGGTATCCAGATTTTAAATCCACTTTAGAAAAGATAGTAGCACCATAAAGATCTTCAAGCATATCATCTAATCTAGGGATTGGATTCTATACTTAATAGTTATCTTATTAAAAACACGAAAATCTATGCACATACACCACATACCATCTTTCTTAGGCACAAGTAAAACAGGAACAACACAAGGCCTGAGAGATTCTTGAATTTGACCTTTAGCAAGGAGTTCTTTTACTTGCTTTTGTAGTTCCTTTGTTTCCTCAGGATTTGCTCTATAGGCAGGTCTATTCGGAATGACTACGCCAGGAAATAGATCAATTTGATGTTCTATTCCTCGGGGAATATGCCCTCGTACTCTTGAAGTATCCTTTGAAACACCTTAGGCAAATTGCTAGGAACTTCAGTTAGCAAAACAGAATTATCACGAAAAAACATTAAAATCATACATGTTCCTTTTGCAAAACACTTCTCCACCGATTTGGGACTAGCGAAGAAATTTTTGCCCACTAGTTCTTGATTGTGTAGACCATTTGAAGATCTCTTTGAAATGTCCAAAGTCGATTCATCTTTAGCACTCTTCTCTTTCCTTCGTCTCTCTCTCTCTTGAATCATTCTCAGATTATATTCATGAACTTGAGGAGGTGAAAGAGGTGACAGGGTATAGTTATGACCATTCATCACAAACGAATACTTGTTTGTGTATCCATCATGCTTTACTCTTCGATCATACCCCCATGGTCGTCCTAAAAGTAGGTGACTTGCCTCCATAGGTACCACATCACAAAGTACTTCATCCTTATATTTTCCAATAGAGAAATGGTACATTCACTTGCCTAGTGACTCTAAAATTGCCACAATCATTCAACTATTGCAACCGATAGGGTGTCGGATGCTTGATAGTAGGTAACTTCAGATTATCTACAAGATATGAATTAGCAACATTAGTGCACGATCCTGGATCTATAATGGTTAAACATACCTTGTCCATAACTCGACATTTAGTATGAAAAATATTATTCATTTGTTGATCCTCTTCAGCTACTTGAGTTTGTAATGCTCGAAGGTTGACAAATACTTGTCCAGCCTCAGCATCAATCTCTACAACTTCTTTCTCGACTTCTTCAACAAGTCTTGGCATCTTGTCATCTTCTTCATATGTTTCACTTTCAAAACTTCCATCCCCTTTAAGAATCATAGTCTTTAAAGTTGGACAATCAGAAGCCATATGTCCTCGTCCCTGATATTTGAAATAAGTAACATCTCTAGTTCTGACTTTGTTAGTATTACTGGATGAAGTAGAATTCTTTACATTAGAAGACGGTTTAGGAATATTAGAAGTATTAGAAACATTAGAATTACTTCCCTTTTCAAACTTTGAATAATTACCATACTTCTTTGAATCATCTTTCTACCATGGTGTAGAAGACTTATGTGAATCTGACTTCTTCTTTACCAATTGTCTCTCCACAATCTAGTCTTGTGTAACATCTCAGTTGGATCTAAGTAGTGTGAAAGCTCCACAACATCGGCAATGTTTTTGTTAAGTCCTGCTAGAAACCTTGCCATCATAGCTTCAGGCTCCTCTTTAATATTTGCGCATATCAATGCCAACTCTAGCTCTTGATAGTACTCATCAACAGACTTGGTTCCCTGTGAAAGACTTTGAATTTGTGTACACAAATCTGGATAATAATAAGAGGGAACAAACCTTTTTGCGCATGAGTCTCTTCATTTCATCCCACGTGGATTCGGGGTCCTCATCATAGAGTTTTCTATCCTTGACAACTTGGTCCCACCATTCTGAAGCATAGTTATTGAATTAGTAAACGCCCATTCTAATGTTCTTAGAATCATCATAATTCTGTAATGAAAAAGCACGCTCTACCTTCTTTTCCAATGTAAGATAGGCTTCAGGGTCATTAGTACCACTAAATTTAGGAATTTTAACTTTGAAATTACCAAGTTCATAAAGATCATTCCTATTTATAACACGATGAGCTTTATTATGATTTTCATTACCTTCATTACCTTGAGCGCGACCATTGCGAACCTCTAGTTCTAAATCTTGTATTCTACTACATAATTGAGTAGTAACATTATACAATCTAGCAAGAGTTTCTCGCATAGCATCTTGAGAGCGGTCATCTCTTTGCTTATTATCATCTCCAGATGACATCCTTTAAGATCAAAGAACAAACAAGTATATAGGATGTTAGTAGGAAGCATTTCTAGGAAATTCAAATAAAATAACAATTTAGAAAATATTTAAATTTTTTTGGGACCGCTCTCTATGAAACCCTTTCTGCGCGAAGCAAATTCACTGGGTCCACTAGGGTTGGCTGCTATGGCTAGATCTCGTCCACCGGCGGTGATTCATACGCCGCCAAAATCCTTTGCCAGTTTCTTTCAGAGACCGGCCGATGTGTCTAAGACTCTTTGATCAAGGAAGTCAAGTTTATCAATGGCACTCCTACTTTGGAGTTTGAAGATGAGGAATTTGAACAACTAATTGCCCCCCATCGGTTAAGCCTTGTCAGGAAATTTTCTTATAATCGGCCGAAAATGGAGGCAATTCACGACGAATTCAAAAAGATTGGATTCATTGGTGCATACACTCTAGCTTTGATGAATCCTAGACATGTATTGATTCGATTTGAAATGGAGGAGGACTATCAAAAATGTTTGATTCGAACATTTTGGAATATTGGTGGTTTCTCAATGCGAATGTTGAAGTGGATGTCGGATTCAGATTTGAGGAAAATCCTTCGGTTGTGCCAATATGGGTTGCTCTTATGATCTTCCTATTGCATTCATGCACCCGGAAGTGATTTCCTCGATGGCTACAGCCCTTGAAAGTGAACACTCCGACATTGAATATGACCCGTCCCTCGGTTGCTAGATTCTGCATGGAGGTGGATCTTACCAAGGATTTGCCAAAATCCGTAAAGGTTGGCAAAAAGGGTCGTAAGCATGAACAAGTCTTCACATTCGAGCATATTCCATCATATTGCTTGAAATGTTGCAAAATTGGCCATAAGGACATTGATTGTAGAGTTGGTAAACCCACGGTGCAAGTGAATGAGTCGGACAAGATTGAGGTTCTAGAGAAAAAGGGAATCAAAATCAAGTCAGCAAAGCCCAAATGGACATTGAAAGGAGGAGATCCTAAAAGTAGACTGGAAGCTCAAATAATCAGTTTGAATCCCTTGGTGGTCAAAGGGGTGGAAAAGGAAGCAATGATGGTGACGGAGATAGTGGAAAGCCAGCCTGCGGCAAAAACCCTAGCGGCGCAGCTTGGTACGCACCAAGCGGGTGAAACCCTAGCTGCAGAAGTCAAGTCACGACAACTTGAATCCTATTCTGGTATAACTGCGATGGAAAAAGAAGCAATCCCGGTGGATTTGCAGCCATCCCCGATTAGGACTGAAGCCGTCTGTGTTGATGCGCCACCTCTTGTTCAATCAGAAAATCGATTTTCGATTCTCCAAGCTGCGGAGCAGGATGACGTCAAAGAGATGGAAATGTCCATTCTGAAGTTCATACGCAAAGTCAAAAGGAGCAAGATGATATTGGTGCTACATTGATTGATGGTGAGTTGGATTTAGACAAGAATAGATCTTCACTTGAAGTTGAGCTGCGGAATATGTCTTTGGTTCCGCAATTGGATCCCATTCGATCTAATGATGATTCATCTGCGAATGAAATCCATAATACCTAGGCGGTTCATGACAAGAGAGAGTTATGGTCTGATTGAGAGATTCATGATGATCACATTGTTGAAAACTACCAAGGCGAGCGCACTGTGACTAAGAAGCGGGGGCGCAAGTCGAAGGAAGAACGAGCTAAACAATTGGAGGCTGAGGCGCTCCCTTCAACATCAGTAGGTTCCAATCTCTCTAATGTATCCAATGATCAGTGTCGTTTTTTTGGAATATTCAGAGAATAAAGAGTCAGGCATCTCAGCGTCATTTGAGGTCCATGATTCAAATTTATAAAATTTCCTTGTTGATTATACTAGAGCCAATGCTTCCATGTCATAAATTGGAAGAAATAAGAAGAGAGTTGAGGTTTGATATTGCCTTTTCCTCTTCCACTAGTAAAATATGGGTGTTTGGTAGCCGGATTTTCACCTTTAATACGATAGAAGATGCAGGTCAGGTGCTGCATTTTGAAGTTACCTGTATTCCACTTCAAAATTTTTTTTTGTTATCTTTAATATATGCTCAGTCAAATAAAGCTGATAGGTGAACTCTTTGGAATAGCTTGGTAACATTCAGAGGTGCGCACCCTAACTCTCCTTGGATTGTTGGAGGGGATTTTAACGTTATTCGGTCCTTGGATGAGTATTCGGGTTCGTCGGTGCAAGATTATGGCGCTATTGAAGACTTTAATCAATGTATTGATGATAGTGAGTTGCTTGATCTTCCTCCCATCGGTGATGAGTATACTTGGGGTGGTACAAGGCATACCGGTTGGGTTAGCAAACGATTGGATCGCATCTTGTTATCACAAGAATGGATCATTCTCTTTCCGAAGGTTTCGATGGAGCATCTGAGTCGTACAACTTCGGATCATTCGTCACTACTCCTCCAATTTGATGTTTAAGTTGAAAGTAGGCCAAGGTGTTTCCGTTTCCAACAAATGTGGTTAAGGAGACCGGAATTTAAAGAGTTGGTTAAGGAAAATTGGTCTCAGCCTGTCCAGGGTTATGGCATGTTTGTGTTTTCTACCAAGCTCCGCCGACTGAAATTAAAGCTCAAGGAATGGAATAAAGAACACTTTGGAGATGTCTTTGCAAATTTAAAGAAGGCTGAAGAGCGGGTGAAGGAATTGGAAATTCTGCATCATCAAACTAGTGATGTAGCGGACGAATCAATCTTAACGAGGCCAATGCGTTTTATCTCCAAAAATTGAAGGAGCATGAAGACTTCTGGAAACAAAAGATGAGATTGAAGTGGTTAAAGGAAGGGGACATCAACTCATCTTCTTTTCATGCCACGTTGGCGGAGAAGAATGTAAAATTGAGAATCTACAAAATTCAATCGGAAGATGGAAGAACCTTAACTGAATTAAGGGGTATAGAGGCTGAGGCGGTGAATTTTTTCCACACCTTGCTGACTGAGGATCTTCGCAAGTGGAAAAATAGGAAAAAATTTTGCATCTACTACATGATGAGCTTGATTTTTTGGAAAAAGAAATGTTAAGTGCTGCGGTTACAATGGATGAGGTGCGAGCCGTGGTTTTCAGCCTTGGTGAGGATAGCGCTCCTGGAGTAGATGGCTTTGGAGGGACGTTTTACAGAGCATTTTGGGATGTAATTGCTGAAGACTTGCTATGCGCAGGTTCTGAATTCATGAGTGGAGTGCCGCTTCCGAAAGGTGTATCTAGTACCTTAATTACCTTGTTGCCGAAAAAGCATTCTTTTACTATATTTTCAGACTTTAGACCCATCAGTCTTTGTACTTTTTTGAACAAGGTTTTCACGAAAATCTTGACTGAGAGGATGAAGAAAGTTTTGCCAAAAATCATATCGGAGGAGCAATCGGCTTTTCTTAAAGGGCGCGACATTATAGATAATGTGGTTTTGGCTCAGGACCTTTGTCAATTTGTTACTCACACGGCTGTGGGAAATAATGGGATCATCAAGGTCGACATGATGAAAGCTTTTGATCGAGTATCGTGGAATTTTTTAAAGAAGGTTTTGCTCAAGCTAGGGTTTCCGCAGGGGTTTGCTTTGTTGATTATGAATAATCTTAAGTGCAGCTGGTTCTCGATGATGGTAAACGGCCCTCCAACAGGATTTTTCAAGGCAACACGTGGTATAAAACAAGGTGATCCGTTGTCACCCTACCTATTTATCCTAGTTGCAGAGGCGATGACTAGGCGTCTAAATTTTTTGATGCATGAAGGAAAGCTAGCTGCGTATGCTACTCCAGCTGGGAGTTTGAGGGGCAGTCATAGGAGGAATTTGGAGAGGTGGGGGATTTTTAGAGTTTTGTTTGGAAAAAATCTCAATGGATTATACTCACTTAGTATTAACAGTAACAAATGTTTTCAATAATTTATTGTAAACTTAATTATGACAGGATATGTCAAATCTTTTTCATCTTTTTATTTTGAAGTTCAAATTTTAAAACAAAACAAATTATTTAAAGTCTATCCAGATTAGTTAAAGTCTATCTTACACAAATTTAAAGCAATCAAAATTTTCAGTAAATTTTGTGTAGTTACCAATTTTCACCTTTATATAGTTACTATCATTTAAAAATAACAAAAAGAAATACTCCCAAAATTATTGTCCAGTTTGAGTTTTCACTTCTAGTACAAATTGAACTAAAAATAAAAATCTGAACTGGACAATAATTATGGGACAGAGGGAGTACCAAAAAAAAACCCTAATTCCTTTAGCCGCTACTGTAGTCCCATTCCATCGTAATTCCTGTATCACCAGCAATTCAACTTTTTAATAAAACAATTCAACTTTGTGGGAGTTTCAAGAACAGAGGCAGTTAATGTATTTCTTAAATATATATATATATATATATATCTATATATATATGTATATATGTATATATATATATATATAAACTCCGGAAGTGTCAGACTTAGTAGTTCCATCACCATGTTTGAAATTTCTCATGGTAGCAGCAAAATAAATTAATTTAACAATTAATAATATAATAGATTAAATATTCAAAAATTTTGTTGTAACTTTAAGTATTATGTTAAATTTTCAGATCATCTTACTAATAATCTAAATTAATGGGGTCATAAAATGATTTTATAAACTTCAATTGAAAAAACCTAAACCTACCCATATCCTCCCCAGCCGCCACTCACATTTCTTCCTCTCTTCTCCATTTCGCAGAGAGCCACAAAATCTTGAACTCTCCCTTCTTCATCTTTTTTATTTTTTTCTTTTTGTTTAAAAAAAAAACACGATTGGGGATCGATTCTTATCTAAAAAAAAAAAACAAAATTTAGAAAACACAAAATTGAGGGAGGGAATGTGATCAGTTTCGCCAAATTGAACGGATCATCGACGGTGTTCTTTTTGGGAGGATCCGAAGCAGTCGCCGATATTGAAATAATCAGAGTAATCTCTTACTGGTCTCCATCGGAATTTTGAGTAATTATCGCCGGAAAACTATTAGAAACAGCAGGCTTTTCTGATCCTTCTCTTCTTCCTTGTCCTCGCCTTTCTTCTTCTTCACTTCATCATCATCATCCATCATCACCTTTCGACTGATTTACGTGAAAAGGACGGCCTGAAGATGCATATTCCGACAAAGATTACATCCCGAATGATGAAGATTTCACCCAGCAATTTAGTTCTTGTTCTGGATATAATTGGAGACCAACGCCGATGAATAGTAAATGAAAAGTAATAAATAATTTACTATTTAATTGAAGATAAATAATGAATATGAAAGATTAACTATTTACCGTTTAATATTTACCATGAAAGCTATTAGTATCCTAATTAATCGACACGTGTCTATGGATTAAAATTCCTTTCATATATCTTAAAGATATCCCCCAATAGGAAGGATTAACAAGTGTATAGGATAAGTTTTGTCCATAATTTCCAATTTACAATCCTTATGTATCCTTTCTGTCAGCAATGTTTCTTCATTGGTTAGGTAGCTAACTTCTAGGATAAAAGGCAATTTTTAAGAGATTTGGTTTGTATTTTTTATGAAATTCAAAACAACAAAAGAATTTGACAATCCTGGATCTATAAGTATTTTAGCAAAACGATCCAAAATTAGAAGTATATCTTCAATAACTTCATTTGAACTTGGAGCATCTTGATAGTCAATGGCATAAATTCGTGCTTGCACTTTAGATCGTCCTGAACCTCCTTTTGTCTTTTTCTGTGGCTTATCCCTTTTTATTGGTGGACATTCTGAGATCCGATGTTCCGAGTTGCCACACTTTAGACACTTAATCTATTTTTTCCAACAATCTTTCTCTTCACGATTCCTCTTTTTGCAGTAGTTACAGCATGAAGAACGGGCAGGTAAATTGGGCACGTGGTTGCCTGTTGATGTTGTAGTTTTGGTCGGGGCCAACAAAACTCGTTTAGCCTGACTTCCATTATTTTGGCGACGAGTATTAAAGTCTCGAAGTCGTGCCTTTGTACCTTCGACTCTTGTGGCTGTTTCCACAGCTCTGACAAAATTGGGTTGTTGGGAATGTGCCAGAGCATACTGTAATTCCAGTCGCAACCCCTATATGAAACGTCTTTTGCATTTTTCATCCGTGGTTACCATCTCATGAGCATATTTACACAGGTTTTAAAGTTTTGCTTTATATTCAGAGACGGACATAGCTCCCTACCTGAGATTGATAAATTGCTCCACCTTTCTTTCTCTGACTAAGTCAGAAATATAATTTTTCTGAAATTCCAACTCGAAACTGTCGCATGTTTTAGGAGTTCCCTCAGTTTCCCATTTCTGCAAATCTAGTTTCCACCAGTCTTTAGCAGAACCACGGAGTTGATATACGGCAACTTTAATCTTTCTTTCTTCTGGGTAATCTAAGGATTTGAAAATGTTACCCATACATTCCAGCCAACATT